TAATTCAAAATAATTACATAATTACTATATAGCCAATGAAAATGCTATATTTAAAATAGTGACGGTAATTTAAAAATCAAAAATAATAAAAAATCAGTTGTGTGTAATAATCAAAATATAAATATGTTATATAAATGTCCGGAAAAAAAACAAAATTTTGAAAAGAAAACAAAGCTTGTTGGTGTTATCACGAAAAACCGTATTTTGAAAAAAAGAACATTGTTTTTCCTATTTACATTTTTACTCGTCTGAATTATCCGCGCGTCTCAATTTATCAGTTACCGTGTGTATATGTATAATTTCATTGGTCGAGCGAGCCTCGTATTTTTCTCCAAACGCACGACGGACGCGCATGCCGCTGAATTTGTTTCGCGTTTCCGCGTAATTCCGCATACAACGTTTTATCGTCGCTCGAGAGAATTTCCCGTGACGCGCAAAAATGCGCGAAAACGCACGAGAACATGGCGCGGACGCGTTGCATGCGTGCCACTAATTCGTTAATAAATGGGAATATGAGCTAAGGGCGTCGCGCACGCGGTTTACTCTCATGTGGCTCTCATGGCTTATCGTGCTACTACCGCCCCGAGCTATTCATTTAATGATTAACTCGATGACTATGGCGTGACAGGTATTCCATGTCATTATCATTCTCATGTATCAATAATTAATCGGATGCAAATGCCACTCCTATCTGTGTTTAGCTTGACGATTTAATATTCTCGAGCGGATATGGGAAATCACCAGCAAATATCATGCGTATAATGTTTGTTTTTGTTTAATTCAATCTGCTTAAAAATGCATAAAAGATCAACTAGATTTGTCACGGAAGAATAAAATTATTTAATAATAAATTATTTAATAAAATTTAATAAAATTCCTCAATTTCGATGCTCGACAAGTTATCGAATTAAACAAGAGTTCTCTTTGAAAGGACTATCTCTTGGTATCCTTTATTTATTCTTATATATTGTTTGCGTAAGGTTTCTTAACAATATTCCCGTGCCACGTGCGCGACCGCGTATCCCAAAGGAAGCATTTTCACCTGGATGTACGCTCGTAATCTGCCAAGTGGAAAAAGGCCACCGTAAAATTCACAGGAGGAATTCTCACGACGCAGGAGAATTCAAGTAAGTTCACTCAAATTGCTCGTATCGTTTCCCGTCCCGCGTAATATCTATTATCGTTTCATTTTACATTTATACCGCGATATAATTGAGTCTGTCTCGTTAGATTTTATCCGCTAATTTATCCAATAAGGTTCTAACATTACGCGCCGCGATCGCAGCTGATTCGATATTAACTTCCTGATAATTATTCTGCCGTTTAATATAGCGGCGATTATTGATACAAATATCGATTTCAAGTTCTCGATTCAATTCGGCTCTCTCCAGGTCCTATTTAATCATCCAAAAAGATTCAACATAATTTATGTAATTTTCTAATATTTATAAATAATACTTATATAATATTTATGAATAAAGATCGTTCTATTCTAAGAAAGTAGTCCGAGATATTTATTTCACCTGTCACACGATGTCCATGATTTCGAACGAATTGTTATTTGTGCAACTGTCGGCACAACTGAAGTCGAACTGTCAATCGTACTGATGCGCACGTGTCATTAAAGACATCACGAATACACAGCACGCTGCGTGATGCAGATGTTGCCGGTGATTTTAGGATTGTAACATGCAAATACTTGAAACCGTGACGTTGGTCGACGCCTTAATAACAAGTTTACACGAAATCGTCAGCGTAAAAGTCGAGCGACAAAATTTATCCACGCTAATCACCTTTTAATAAGTGAGTCGTCATCATCATATCGTGTCACGACTCGCTTTATGCAAATACCCCCTTTGTGTACATAAATCTGAGTGCACAATATGCCTACAGTACCGGTTAAAAGTATCGCTTCACCCCCAAAAAATATGGAAAACGCGCGCCTAATTAAATGATTAAGTTTCTTTATTTTTTATCTATTTTCTCCCTTCTAAATCTCCGTCAACACTTGTAGGGATATCTGCAAATAAGAATCAATATCGATAATTTTAACAAAACTATTGCCAAGAATGAATTGAAAACAAAGAAGAGTATTTTAAGAAATCAAAAATTTCATATTTCTGTTATTATATTTTACGATATTAAAGCATAAAATAATATATATATATATATATATATTATATATATTATATAATAATATATATAACAGTAATATATAATTAAAATAATTACTCATGACGTTGAATAAATTGGCAATATTTATAATATAAATATTTTTGTTCATTCAAAGCAACAATTTCCTTCTTTCTATAAGTGATGCAGTACTTTGGATCGATAGTGTAGTTCGTATACGTTTGCATTATACGATGTATGCGAAAACACGACTCACGCTTATACATGTACGTGTTGAGCGTTCAATTCCCGGATACTTCTTTAAAATCCTTTTAACACGAGAGCCCGATTCGTCATCGAACCGAGCATCGTCTTCGGACGATAGTCGATTTTGTACGATAGCCAATACGAGGAGGAAGACTAGATTTCCGGCGACGACGGATATAACGTGCAAGTTCTATGCTTTCTATCGCCTGGAATCACGCTCGTGCAGCCTGCTGACGATGATTGGTTCGAATCCGACAATATCCGACAGTTTCGTGCGGATTCGAATCGAGAATCGAATCGCAAGGGACCGAAATTTGGCCCCGTGTTTCGTTCTTCCTCGGTAAGGAAATGCAAACGTATATTATAAAAAATAACATAGTAGAATAAATAACCGGTCAATTATATATTTTGTTTTTATGCAATATATTGCATGGTCTTTAAATATTTTTATCCTAAATTCTTTTAATTGATGATATTTATTTTTTAAAATTTCACACAACTGTCCCACAATTGTACGCTTTTCGATAATAAATATTTCCAATTTTTCCAGTAATTATTCAATCGCAATCAAATTTTCCTTCGGTTGCTCTCAATATCGTTCATACATACCGAGTATTCATTCCTGCCATTAATCACGATGCTCGATGCACACAGTTATGCGTTTTTATCTCAAATATTTGTGACAGCGAGCGTAACGTCATGATTAATTAATTACATCGGAGTTCAAACAAATGGCGAAAACGCAACGTTCGTTGTCTTGTGCGCGAAGGCAATACACCGATACTTTTGTTATATATACAAATTATCCAAATTATAAAATGTTGTTACATTCCACCCAAAATGCGCCTCTCCCCCTTCGCAAATATTCGAAATTAGCTTTTTCGCGCAACAACGTCCACGCGCGCGCAAACCGCAGTTAACACACCCGCTGGGATTATATTAATTAATATAAACGCGGTCACAAACAGAAACGTCGCCAGAATCCACACCAAACTAAAAAAATTTTTCGAATGGAAAAAATATGATAAAATATATATACGATATATCCTACGATAAAAAGCCACCGAAACAATATTCCATATATTGTGATGTTTGTCAAGTAAATCGCAAAGATTTTTAATCGCGCAATTATTTTCGATTATTTTAATTATAATTTTTTTTTAAGATTAAAAGATTTTCGTGTTAAAGTTATGACACTTTAGGAGAAATTTGCTAAACCAAACTATTTAAAATATCGCAATTATAAATGGATATATTTTGCAAATATATAAAATGCGAAAATATTTCTCCCCTCAGAAATATTTTTCCGTACAGAAATTCTAAACAAATGGTAAAAAAAGGGAATAAATATATAGCGAAGCAACTCGAATAAATATATATATATATATATGTGGCTGTGTGTGTGTATAATTTGAAAACCGCTGAAAAAGAAAATTATTATATATGTATGTATATACGCGGTCATATTTCAATTTATCCTGCACATTCGCCTTCAGTGTAATTTTTCGTCATTCCGATCGTCCGCGTTTTTTTGCCACTGATACATTGAAACAGCGAAAATATTAGTATTTTTTTTTCGCCAAGTTTACACAACGAGAGAGCTCCGTTAGCACGTATTAACAACCTCAACCTGGCCCGGCTTTTTACCGATTTTTCTTCCAAACCCTTCTCTCTCTCTCTTTATATTACTTTTTCCTTTTCTTTTCGCATCCCTCTTTAATCCTTCGCGAAAATGTCCGTCTTTCGCTCGCCCTCTCTCTCTCTCGCCCCATCGTATTAAAGTCGCTCGCGTGCTATCCGTCTCTTTCCGTCATCCTCCGATTTCAGCACACATAGATTACGAGCATCGGCACGCGCGTATATGGCGTACCCCCATAAAAAGCGGCCATGTATAAAACGGTCGTGTTCTCGCGTGCTCGACGAGCGAGCATTTTCGTCAGTTCTCCTTCCCCTCTTCTCCTTCTCTCTTTTTTTCGCGTCCTTCTTTTTCTGCAAAGTCCATACGTGTCGCCCGTCAACGCCGGCACCGCGCCATGCGGAGAAAAGCACACCGGAGAACAAGAAACATAAAGAATGATGGGTCAGCCGTTACTTAAGTTTCCAAAGCCGGGCGTAAAATTTACACGCGAAATTCGAGTTGGCTTAAAAACTTCACATTCGTTGTGACAAATGATTTTCCCGAAGCCTCAAAATTTATGTGTGCGTCTATAAAAACAAGCCTCTTTTTCAATCTACCAGATTGCAGATTGTCTCGCAAACTTTGAATTAATATATTATATCTTCATTTACCTCTAGCTTATTTTTAATTAATCTTTGCACGAATTATGTCCCTGATTATTTGATTAAAAGTATGTCTAAAAGTCGCCCTTTTTCATATTTCTTCTCGTTCACTTAAAAAATAATTATATATAAATGTGTTTAATAATAATCAATATTTTAAACGTATTCAATAATCATCGAGACCCTAAATCGTAATTCTATTTTTCCAATTGAAAAATATGGAATTACGAAAAATCTTTGTCTAGCTATAAAGTTTTTTCTCTCTCTCAGAGAGGAAAACTATTTTTTCCGAGCGAATAAACTTGCGAAGCTGAGATACGTTAATATTGTTGCGGACTCACCGTTGACGACAGCGATGATACCGAGGACGCACAGCAGCAACGATCTCGCGCACATCTTTGTTAGCTGCTTCCCCGGGAGGTCTCCCTCGGCGAAAGAAAAGCGTCAAGAAACAGGTGCGATCCTTACGTGCCTCTATCGAGCATCGTCCGACTAATGCGTTGGAAACGATCCCTCGTCTGATCAGTCACTCTGATCAATCAGTCGATAACAAGTACGAAGACGTTCCTCGGGGATGCTACGTCCTTCATCATTGAATCTGAGTGATACCGAAGATATCTCGAGTCGGCATCGAGACGAGATCGATTCACCCTTCTTCCTTCTCCTCCGATAACGATATCTCGATTAATAGACGTTGGAAATCGTGCAGGATCGTCAGACGGAAAAGTGAGTTGCGACTGCGAAGTGGCTGATTAATTAGATCCGATCGCATTAATCGGCTCTTAACCACTGCGGCCCGAAAGTGGTTTGATCGAAATTCTAAGTTGCCTCTCCTAATAACCCCGAGGCTCGAGCTTTCGAAGCTTCCTCCTCCTTCTCGTTCTTCGCCTTCGATGCTCCCTCTAACGTCTCTCGGCTCTTCTCTCTTCTTGCTTCTCCTTCACTTCTCTGCTCCTTTTCCGTGTGTTGCTGTTTCGCCTTCGGCTTCTTTCCTTTAGCCTTGGGGAGATAATACTCTCCCCCGTTGTGAATCCTCGATCTACTTGTTCTCGATGACGTCAGTTCGCCGAAAGCGACCTCGCGATTCCTCAATACAAGATCCGTTTGACGTAACTTAGCAAAGTAAGTTGAAGTGCCCCTTAGCGTAACTAGACGTTCCTTCTATTCATTGAATAAGTCGAACTTTTATCTTTGATCAAAGCGTTGGCTCAACATAAAGGGGATGCGAGGCTTCAAACTTAATTGTCTCTTTCTCTCTCTCTCTCTCTCTCTTTCTCTCTCTCACTTTTCTGAACAAAATGTTACGATTTTTGTCTCGAGTTTAATGAAACAACCCCTTTACACCTCCGTAAAGTAATTTCCTGGAGAACCGTGCATATATTTCGCCCTGACGCAAGTCAATCGCGCAAATTGACGGAGAAAGAAACATCAGCAAGATATCACGATTTATTATTTATTATTTTATCCAAACTTTTCGCCGTGTAAAATTTCAGAACTTGCGAGTGCCACGCTCGCCAGATGAGCGAGGATTAAATCTTGCGTGTCAACGCGTAACAGCCGCGAAACGCTTCCGGCCACGGCGAGCTCGCGGCGCTTACTGAGCTTGCGGAAAAGCTCCTCGAGAAGCGTCCGCGAGATGAGAGCACGTTTCTCATCCCCTCCCGCGAACGCGCGATTATGTTGCGCGCCGCGCGCGCTGATTGGCCGAGCATGCGCTCCGAAGCTCGCCGAGTAACGTGCGTGCCCCCCTCCTCCTTCCACCCTTCACCCTCGAGGGTGAGGGAGGGTTGAAAGAGGGTTCACTATGCGGGGGGAACGAAGGGGAGGGTCACCGAAAGCACCGCAATGCTTTTGGAGTACTGACTGCCGAGTAGTGTTGAAGCGCTGTTGAAACCACCGGTAGTGGGGCGACAACGCGGTTAGAAAGAGACCGAAGGGGGATGGAGAAGGGACACACACCGGGTACATCGCGCGCGTTTCGCGCCACTAGTCGCGCTCTCGCATACGCGTCGAGCTTGCGGCAAAAGTTATGACCTCAAAGGGGTCGTTAACGAGCGCCTGCCAAATTAGTATAACGGCGCGTTCTCCGGTCTATCCACTCCACTACACCCCCTCCCCCCCCTCTCTCTCTTTCTCCCTCTGCTCCTTTCAAGCCTTCCACCCTCCTCCCTCTCGCTCTCGACTACTACCCCCCTGTGTCCTTTCCATACGTCTACGCGCGACTATTTTTGATTAGATTCGAAACGCAAGTACTATCCATCATCTGTCTATCGACTGATTCCAGGCAAATCGCACGCGCCTTGTCTATCGATTCATTATACGGCTCGTCCACTTTATGATTGATTACTATGATTGCGGTTGCAAATTGGTAGCGTGAGATGGAACGCGCTGCTCTTTCACTGACGGTTTTCGTAGAAAAAGTACTTTAATTTGGAAAAAAATCTTCCCGGGGCACATACACATATTTTTATACAGACTGTTTTTACTCTTTTAATATAGGAATGCGTCCTGAAAATATTTAGTAAAAATTTCGTAATTATATGTATATATTGTATATACATTCCTGAAAATCGTCCTGAAAATTTCACAGTGTACATAATTATATGTATACTGTATATATTTTATATACATTCCTGAATATACGTCCTGAAAATATTTAGTGAAAATTTCACAGTGTACATAATTGTACACTGTATATATTGTATATACATTCTAATATACATATATTTAATAATTTATAAAGAATATAAATTTTCGTGCGTGACAGAATTTTGGTAGAAATTTATAATTTAATTTGAATATCGATAGAATAAGAAACGCAAACGTGATATTTTATAAAAACACACTTTTGCGATAATTATATAATTTACTTTTGTTGTTAATAAAGTTACGCAATCATGTTCAGGCATCGATCGTCTTATTTTATGCAAGACAACCTTTTTATAAATCTCTCCGTTATATCCAAAGCTTATACCTACTTTACAATCTTTATTATTTAGAGTGATGAGAGAGAAAGTATAAATGTTGATATTACTTTCTTATACATGATATCATGGATTATGCAAGGATTATACAAAGCATCATGCATTTTCCAAGACTGAAATGGACTGACGAAAAGAATAAATTACCCATCCCATCTATATCATCTATATCATCTTTATTATTAACATCGCATTTTTATGCGATGCGTGCGCGCAGTAGACAGATAAAAATCACAAGGAAAATATCGCCAGATGCATCCGGAATTTAATGCACGAATTAAATCTTTTCCACGATGTACGGATATCGTTGCTCTGCAAATTACTTTCCATTACGCGAAACTTGGTAAAAGAGGGAGAGAGGGAGGTAAAAGTACGAACAAGTAAAAGTAAAAGCACTCGTGGACTACGCGACGAGCAGGACACCATCGTGGACAACAGCCAGATTTCGTGAGAGACAACTTCGGGGATGCCAGGGCGCTAGTAGTGCAGTCAATATATAATGCGCGACGTGCTCCTGCATTTCGAATTACTGCATCGTACTACTGGCTACGTGCGAGCGTCGCTTCTCGATGCTGCTGATCGTCCGTCCGCCAGCAGCAATGGTGTGACACCATGAGTTGAGAGTCCCTCAATCTCTCTTCGCATCGTACATTGCCTTCGGATAATTATTACCGCGAATTTAGAGACGACACGTTGTTCAACATGGCAGAAAAGGAGATTTGCAGCTCAAAGATAAAGTTCTCCTTTGTAATTTTACATTGTGTGTGTCATATAACATCCTCTTCACAATATTTCTATATTTAATTACGATTAGGGTTGCACGAGATTCAAGGTGAGACAATATTCATAAAAATATTGTATAAAAGAATTTCTAAAAACTTAAATCTTGTCTCGATTTTTAGAGTAAAAATCTCGCCTTGTATTGTTTTGTCTCGAATCTATTACCAATTCTTATGTAATACTGAATAATTATTTAAAATAATATTTAATATAATCTTTATAATTCAAAATAATTAGCTATTTATGTCATTCACGTTTACAACTCCCAAACATAAAATATATATATCATTTATTAAATAAAATTTTTTTAATTCTGATATAATATAATATATGATTTCGTCATTTAATTTGCAATTATATATATTTTACCTTTTCTTAAAAAATTAATGATCTTGATAAGATCACAATAGTCTTGATTATTTTAGTTTTATCTTGATAACTTATTAAAGATCTTATTTCGATCTTGTCTCGAATTTTACGCTGTGACAAGACATATCTTATTTAATCCCATTTATAACACATTATTTAATTAATTAATGATTTTAATTTAATTAATTTCTTGGAAACGTGAATTTTAATTCTAGCATATTATTCATAGCATTCTTATTATTAATTTGAATTTTGATATTAAAGCATAATTGATACAAAGATCTTTAGTAGTAATTCTCTAATTAATTCACATAGTGCTAGAACTTAGAATGGAATGAGAGAGCGTCTCTAGAGACATAAATAATTATTCAATAACTGTGTGTACTAAAGTAGTAGTAAACGCATGCATTGCCAGGCATACATTGCCTGATTCGCGTGTTTACAATGGACGACATTATAAATTGAAATGTTAATCTTCCATTATGCATTAGAATATTATGCTAACTAACATTTGATAATTAAATTTACTGATTTATATACATTTATATAAATTTCATAATTCAAGTCAAATAGAAATACTGAAGTGAATCTACAAGTATTTGAATTAATTTCTAATATCTTTTCAGAATCTTCTAATTTAATTAAATTATGTTTGTACACGAGATAATTTAAACAAAATTTTTAAATATTTATCAATTAACATTTCCTTCTATTTATATTTATATTCTCCTCTACATAATATACAAGTCTTTGTGCAACTGGAATTAGGCAATGCATTAGACAGAGCAAAGAATAAAATCTGTTAACGAAAAAGCATCCCTCGGTTTCAGACAGAAAGAAAATGTTTACAAAGCCACGTACGTGGAATCGGCGTCCAACGAATGGAAGAATTTTAACTTCAAAGAAAAAGTATTAAGTTTGTGATCCTCTTGACGCTGCCTGCCTGCTCGCGGCACAAAGGAAACGATGAGGATAATGGAAACATACTTTTCGCGATGTCGTTATCCCCCGTTCGACATAAGTGTGGCTCATGGATAGGTAAATGCTTGACAAAGAAAAAAATGAAATAGATAATTACGGGATAACTCGTCGGGCACGAATAATCTTAACTATCCGTCGTCTTGTTCCGTTTCCCTCAAAGGACCCGACATTTTTCCGGATGATGGTTTTAGCAGACTGCGCGCGATAATCGAACGGAACGTTCGGCCAAGATGAATTCCAAAGGATGTAAAAAAGATTTTCATCGTCTCGCGCTTTGATCGGCGTACCGTCAAAGCGACGTTTCACTGTCTCATTTCGATTCTGTTTTACTCCGCCCGCATATCGATATCCCTCGTTTTTTTCCGACTTTTTGCATTTCTTCGATCCTTTAGCGCGCGCGCGCGCGTCCTCCTCCCCCTCCTCTTTTTACCCCCCCGGGACCAATTCTCAGTCTAGCGTGGAATATAGTAGAAGATGAAAGAAAGAATGCAGTCATTAACTCTCTCTCTCTCTCTTTCTCTTTCTCTCGTCGCGTCGACAAAAGGAAATTCGCAGAAAACAGCACGGGCGCATTTTTATTTAATTCCGTAAGAAATGTGACGGGGTGCCAAAGGGAACGAGAAGTAATAAAAAAAAGTGTCAATAGCAGAGAATAAAATTGCGATCGGTGGTTACGCTTGGCAAGTGCGGATGCATTTCCTTTTTCCCCCTTTCTTTTTTTACACAAATCCCACCCGCGATTTATTTCTCCCTCTCGCGCGGTTATTTAATAATAAATTATTTCTACGTTACACTTCTCTCGCATTTAATCGACGGAAAATTAGCATCCCTGGCGTGTCCAATTATAACGGAGCAACACGGCCAATTCGTTCCCGCTGACGTCTTTTACGAGTCTTCGCGATCAATTCGCGCGCCCGACAATAATTAAGCCGTCGGTTGGCTAATTAATTCGTGTACAAAGAGAGAGGGGAGAGAGAGAGATTCTCATCGTTTACACCTAACATACCTACTCGGTGCGCGAATAATTGTGTGCTCCGACAATCGGCGGTATGTATTTATCGGAGCTTATCCGACCGCAATGTATATACGCTCGCGGATGATTATTGTGACAATTTCATTTCGCATTATACCGGCTTTCGCACTAGCCTCCCCCTTCGCCCCCATCTGCCCCGTCGACCAATGACTCCGCACTGTCCGAAAACCTGCCCCTCGCTTTCTCCCCCTTTCCCCCCCCCCATTTCATCCGGACACCGACACTACGCTCGGTAAATTTCCCTCCGGGACATATGCCGTGTGTATCGAAATCCCGTTTAATCGAAATTTGAAATGTACGTTTAATCTATCCCCGGTTGTACCCACTCCCTCCCTCCCCCCCCGCCCCCTCCGCTGAAAACCCCGTCCCTTTCTGTAGCAATCACCCCTGTCGCGCGCAAATGCGCTTACAAAATAAAAAACAAAAAATGTCCCTCTGTAGCCGATATGGACTTG